AATCTATTAAGGTTATTTTGAATTTTGATCCTGTCCTCTGGGGTATTAAGAGGGGCAGGAAACCATTTTTCTTATAATTGTTTGTGAGAAGCTGGGATGGATGGATGAATGGATAGGATAAGATAGGATAGGATAAGATATAAGATGCACATAACAAACACACATACATAGAAGAACATAGGTAGAGATTGGCCACTTAGGGACATATACACACATAAGTTATGCTACACATGCAGGGGCAAAAATTCACCATTGCATAACAAACATATTCTGTTGATAGCAACAGAGGTGAAGTTGCACAGACAGAATGCTCAGTGTCTATCTTTGCAGATTGCTCATTATGCAATGCAGTTGTGCATCCTGCTTTCCATTGTGATTGTGGATCCTGTACTTTGCATTTTGGTTGTGCTTCCTATACTTTGCACTGTGATTATGCATTGCAGTTGTAGGTCTTATAGTCTGCATTGTGGTTGTGCTTCTTGTATTTGGAACATGTTGCACAATGCTGCTATACTACATGTGTGCTGATAATGCTACTCTGGGAGATGTTGGATTGAAGCAGGTGTGTGTTATGTTTGCTGGTGTATGTGCACTTTAACATATGCTAACTGTCGTGTATAACCATTGTTGTGCATATATAGGAACAGCAGGATCTTTGAGCTATTGAAATAAATATGCTTTTGGTGTTGTTGTGTGCCTTCAAGTAGTTCCTGACTTATGGCAACCCTAAGGTGAACCTGCCATGGGGTTTTGTGAAGCTGAGAGTGTGTGACTTGCCCAAGGTTACTCAGATATTTTCCATGGCCTACTGGGTGACCTTGGGCAAACAGGGAGTCAAATCCTGGTTTCCAGTTGTAGTCCAGTGCTTAAGCTAGAGGAAACTATTGTTTTATCCCCTCTGTAATTAAGAACATTTCTGTAGTCTTTGTGAGTGTAGTGTGAAACTAAACTTTTTTTGCTCTTGACTGAATAGCCTGAACAAATAGTTCTTTTGAAGCCACTCTTAAAATGGCACTGTAAGGTGCCACAGCGATTAACAGAGACAAATGCAAAGCAGAGGATGAATAAACCGAGGAGAGAGAAATCAGGAATGAAGAAGTCAATCCAAAATTGGCTGCTGAGGAACAAAAACTTGCATCGGGAGACAGGCTCAATAATATTGAGAAACAAACACGGGAGGGAATCTGAATTCCAGGTGGTGATGCTGCCCATTGGAGCGGCAGTAAAGGACTCTTTGTGTGGTTCATAAATTGAATTTATTGACTCCTCTTTCCTTCCTGCCTCGATTGCAATCGGCTCGGCTCGTCATCTGTGTACTCCTTATTTCGCACTCTGTAATCTCACAGCTCTATCTCTCCCTTAGAAAAACCTTGCCGAGCTGCTAATATTGAGGGCTTTGACACTTGGCCATATCGTGAGTTAAATCTCTACCTGAAGCTCTCTCAAAGCAGCCTGATAAGCTCTGAAGCATATTATTGATATACGCATGTGTGTGTATGCCTTGTATCTGTGTGCATATCCCTATCAAAGCAGAAGTGGAAAGACAAACAGTTGCTTATTGTGGTCATTAATGGAAGGACTCCCTTCTTTGGAGTCAACAAGTAGCCATACTTAAAACAACAGCCTTGAATTGAGTGGGTAAAAAAAGATTATTGATTCTACAGCAAGTCTGCACATGCAAGAGACACTGGATGCTAGTACTTTATACTATGGGGGTGGGAGTTCCCTTTTTGAATGCTCTCCTTTAATAAGAACAACAAAGCCCCATTAGAAAGCTAACATAGCATCAAGTAAGCCAAACTAGAATGTTGCTTCTTGGTTTATTAAGTTTATACATTGGGCAGCATCCAAACATGAGGTTCTTCTATTTATAGTCTGAAATATACTCTACCCCCTCATTCTCCTTAGTGTGCTTGTTTGTATTTGTTGGAGTGTCCGTCTCCAGTTGTCCATGGAGGAAAACAGCTAAGGCCACAGCTGGGGCAACTGTGCCGGAGTGAAGGCCAGTTCGTCTCTGCGCCTCCCTGGCAGGGCACACCGGAGTGTTTTTGGCAACCTGAAATGATATGACATCACTTCTGGTTTTGCTTTTGTTCAAAGCAGTCTACGACCGAATCAGAAGTATTGCATTAGCTTGTGTATTTGTGATGTGCCAGCCCCCACATCACTCACCCCACATCTGTACATTCCTTTAATACCCTTCCATGTTGTTAACCTAGCCACTGGAGTCTTGGATGTCTTTATAATGTTCTCATACCCCATTACCTGTCCTGGGCTCTACCCCCTTCACAGTATTATTCTGCTTTCACCCAGTTGAGCACCGTTTTCCTTTGGGGAGAAGAGACAAAATAGGCACTGAGCAGTTCCACCTTCAAGGGCCATTCAGTCCAAACCCCTGCCATGCAGGAATACACAATCAAAGTACTCCCTGTGACAGATGGCCATCCAGCCTCTGTTCAAAAATCTCCAAAGAAGGAGATTCCCCACCCTCTCTTCCACTGTCAAACAGTTCTTATTGTCAGGAAATTCTTCCTAATGTTGAGGTAGAATCGCTTTTCCTGTAGTTTGAACCCGTTGCTCTAGGTCCTATTCTTTGGAGCAGCAGATAACAAGCTTGCTCCA